CAGACGTCAACTATGTACCTCCGCGGGCACAAAAGTAAAGCTTAGAACAAATGTATTTCCACTGGGATAATTTAAATATTCAACTTTGAAATTTAGCACACGTTGATGTAGCATTGAATTAGTAGAGTATCGGTTCGTGGGGACAAAGCAAGCATGTTGCGCTTGCAACCGGGCACTTATTCCCTTGCCTACAACTCGGAGCTTAAAGTGTCAGCTCGTAAGAACCTTGACCGACGCGCCATGTTTTCCATTGTTCGACGACCTCGGTGACCCAATTGTTTGCACTATGGGCCTTGGGTGAAAAAGATTTTAGGGCCCGATCCCGGTAGTGCTAATATGAGAAAGAAGGTTTCTAAACTGACTCAAAGCTAAGTGTTCTGTAAGTAAATCGAGCATTTTTCAATATTTTTACACATTGTATTTTTTCGAATTGCAAAAGCTGTCTTCAAAGACGTTACCATTACCCCCCATACTATCACAAATAATATCACAATCTGTTATAAAAATATATTACACATATATATGCGGAGAAATTACAGGCACAAGCGACTTGTCAACTTATGTCTCAGGGTGACAGGCGCAGTGGCAGTGCCCCTCAGATCTTTGCGATTTAAAGCTCGGAGTGGCACTGCGACTGTTATTTACAGGCGTGCTTACCTTCAGGCGCACGACTGGTTCGTCCCGTCACTTGATATTATATAAAAAAAAAGAAAACACACACAATCAAACAAAGTATGTTTATATAATAAAAACGGTCATTCAATCACTATTTTTGATTAAATGATTAGTAAACGACTAATAATGACAAATTTTGAATGAATAAATAAAATCAAACATTTGATATATTTTTCAAAACTTTAAAAATTTTGGATTGATAAAAGTAAACAAACAATACGTAAAATTCTCGCTAATGGCAAGTGCTCATTGCCTAGTTTGTTTACCTACAAACGACTTCACGTGTTCCGAGTGGGCATGAAGTTCCGTTATATTTCAACATAGTTTTAAAGACTTCAAAGGCTTTAGTTAAATATATATAATGTAAGGCTGTATATGTCCATTATATGGATACTTTTAAATTTGTACTTTGTTTTTGTGTTTGTTTTTGTTAAAAATTTGTGCGATTCTGTATTTGCTTTTTTTATCGTCAATGTTACTGGCATGCCATTCACATATACACATTATGTGATGTCTACAATATCATAGCAGGGGTTTCAAAACTTAGGCTGCATTTTTTGGATGACTACTTAAATACGCACAAAAATAATCATAAGATGTTTCATATTATTTTACTTTCTGAGGTACTGTACTGAGGCGTAGCTTGGGATGCGTAGCGAGAGGTACTTTTAAGAATATAAAATGGAATAATCTTCAAAATATACTTTATTGTACTTTCACATAATTTCGGCGTCGGGCATTGACTTGTAAGCCAATGGCGTCGGGTTACAAATCAATAATGTCAAGATGCTCCATTCTTCATTTTCAAAGCATTCTATTTACAAATCTATTCACTCAGCCAGTGATTCTACTCATAGAGTAGAGCCTAGACTACATCCCTCTTCCTCACAGCTGAAGGGGTGAATATCCCTAGCTGGTGCTCTATCTATGATAGGCAACTTACATCAGTGATCAGCCTTTACTACAGGCTAGCCACACACTGCTCGGAAGCTATTACCTTACCAACAAGTAACCACCGAGGAGGTTATGGCTTTAGTCTGCCAAAAACCTATCTAAAAGGACAGACCATGACCACATCCTAATCAAACAAATAAAAATATAATTACTCGCTATCCTAGCTAATTAGGGAATCTGACTATACCCTAAGACTTTATTTCAGCGACCCTAGACTGGCTGAATGATCCTAATAAAAATTCTAAACATCACTACTTCCTAACTGTTTCCCTAAATTATCTTCAACGTGCTTGCTGCCACAACGACGACACAGGCTTGAGCATCCATCGGATGTTCACGGGGTTACATTAATATTGATCTCCCAGCTGCCTCAGTCCTCATCCTGCAATATCCACGTTCCATCAGCTAATCTCACTTTCTTTAAACAAACAAGCACAAAAACACATGCAACCCTAACAACACATCCTAACATACATATGGGATGGGGATATTCCATATGAAGATCGCCTAATTAATTAAAAAAATATTTTTTCCCCGAATGCAGACAGTTCTTGTTCATCTGGGAGGGTGAGCACGAACTATGCACATACACTGGACAATACATCTATCAAATTAAAAAAGAAAAAAAGAAAAAGTAAGTTATATCCTTCTAATCCCAATTGGTATTCTATTACAACATTATTTCAATATTCTTATTTCAATTCTTCAAAAGCATTCTAATTGCAAAAGCTATATTCACTAGCTATATTCAGCCAGCAATTCTACTCATAGAGTAGCTAGCCTAGACTACATCCAGGTTTAAAAATGTTGCTTTCCGAATTATATTTTGTATCTAATTTCGGGAAAGCATACTTCTTTTTATTGAAATTACAATCCTGACGCAATTGACATGGCTTATCACTTACATCAATTTTACTTATCATTTCTGGCAAAACCGAGAAGCTATCTAAACTTTTTGATACGGGTTTCAAAGAAGACTTTTCTTTCTTTGATCCAATATCTATCATGGACTTAGAAGAAGAAATTTTGTTGTCAATGTCCACTTTTGACAACTCGAAATTATATTTTTTCAAAATATCTTGACCCAAAATTAAATATTCTTCAAGATCGTCTATAACCAGCAACTTCGAAGGACATTCCTTTCCATTAAATGTCAACGACACTTTGGTGGATGACTGTACATTTATTGGCGTTGCACCCACTGTACGTAATGGAAAACTTGGAGTATCATCGATACGCAACTGCAACCTTTCCGCAAAATAACGAGAAATTACTGAAACCGAAGCATTAGTATCCACCAACGCCTCGCAACTTACATCATTAATAAAAACAGATATAAAAAGTGCCCTGGTATCTACACTAGAAATATCAATTGTAGACAAATTTTCTAAATGTTCAGTTGCGCTTTGCTGACATCCACGTTGAGGAGATCCCGACGAAGATCCACTACTATGTGCCTGTGAATACCCTTGACTTGGCGTATCCTGACTCACGATTGGTACTTGTGGCGCTTGATATTCCTAGAGTAGAGCCTAGTACAGCCTAGACTACAGTACACATAACAAATTCTAGAGGTAAGCTTTGCGTTAGAAAAATATACCGACCAAACAATTAATTGTCGTCTTACATAATCTCCAAATCTCCGCGAAAATTGTCGTTAGTCAATTTAATAACATTCAATTTCCTGTAAAGTTGATGTGTGTCATAACTTTATAATAAACTAACTATATAATACGCGCCCAAGCTACCCAAGTCTTTTTGTAAAAGAATTCCACCTAAGGTACTTTTGTTAAACAATTTCCTATTAGCCGCTTACAATAAAAGCTTTTCACTGCTTTTCGTTAAAATTTTAAATATCAAAGCTCAGTCAGACTAAATTGCATATAAATGTGCTGTGTCCCTTTGTAAACTTTTAAAAACATCCACCTTTTGCACTACGTTTCTGTTGTTGCATTCTGCGATTTAATTAACAGTCAGAGAGTTATAGTTGTGAAATTCGTTTCAAATATGCTGGCATTTTCCAGGTGGTGGTGCTGGCATAGAATAAACTTATTCAAAAAATCTCCTTATTGAAAATTAGATCTTGGTTCATAGATAAATACACACATCAAAAGTGTCTACGGTTGAAGGTAGTGTTTTAAAATATTTGATTACCCCATTGACTTACAAATAAATGGACGACGGGTCTAATACAAAAACCACGAAAAAAATGTCCCAAATCAACCTATTCGAAATTTAAATTGTAATGTCATCGCAGTATCGCGCTGTCAGTCGAACAAATGAAGAGTAAAGCGGAGTTTGGCGCTCTGTATACGATTTTAGCGCCTTACAAGTGCGGACACTTTTTAGCGCGGACCCGACGTCTATATAATTGTAAGTCAATGGATTACCCTATTAAAATTAAATAAAAATATGTATATAAATTTAATATATTATTTACTTAGTAACTTATTTTTAAATCATTAAATTGGTCACAAAAACCTTTGGTGTTAAAAAATATTAATTAAAAAAGCTGATTTTAGATTTTAGCGTACTTAGCGTAGTGTATAGTTAGGCACTATAGGCCTTATGTTGTACATAAACAAACAAACAAATTCCACTTGTAGTTTTATGCCATTGACAATATAATTGAATTTACAAATCAACTTTCTATAGGAGGGCCAGTACTCGTAAAATGAATAGCGCGGACTTTTTCAAAATGCTTCGGATAGAGTTGTGTACAATTTAAAAACTTTTTTCTGCTCGTGTACTTCAATCTCTCAAATAGAATTTCGTAAACCATATCACAAAGGCGATCTTTTTAGTTCTGAATCAAAATTCTATTATCTATGGCACTCCCTACTGAACTGAAATAGTATTTTATGCAATCGTAGTATAATGAGGGTTCTTAAAGCAGAGTACTGTGTTTAGGCCACGAGACCTGGTCGAGTGGCCTAAGTAATAGGTACAAAATTTTAACACCTAATTATGTAATGATTGCATGCAATATTTTTCTACGAGTAAATAAAATAATTAAACACAACCAATATTTAATGTATATTTTGCTAGCAATCCATGACAAGAAACTCAAACGAATGCCAAACAAACTCTACAAAACAAAAAACCAAAGAGATAAAATAAAAGTGACCAAGTACCGCTTAAATTTTGAAATCTTAAATCTTTTTTCAATTCTTTTTTAAATGGGAAAAAGGTACGAGGTACTTCGTACCTATTTCCCATACATATATCATCCTATATTAAAAATATAGAAACTTTTTATTACAACTTGTATACGTAGCAAAATTCATCACAAATCTAAAAAATATTCAACAAACGTTTGGTCAGATAATAATTTCGCTTTTGATTGTATTGTACGTGGCTGTATATTTCAGTGTATATTCACGCGCTGGTTAATTGCATTGTCTACCTCCAACTCACCAAGGCCAGAGAACGCCGTCGTACTCGACGGCGTTCTCTGGCTACGAACTGAAGGCTCCAAAGCATGTTACCTCGGGTACCACACGTGTTGCGAACGCTATTGCGATACTACAACACAACAGATACTTTTTTATATACATAATTAAATATTTTTTTGTATACTACAATTGTATTTTCGATTAGAGCAACAGTAATCAGAGCAGACGAATAAAAAAGTCAAATATTCGTGTTTTGAAAATAAATATTATAGAAATGTATAATTTTTAATGCTCATACATTTTTTGTTATGTGGTCTAATTTTGTAGGAGTTACTTTTCCTAGAAAAAAAATTCTAATAATTAACTAATAATACAGTGGTTTATCAATAATTACATTTAAATTTACACATTCATAACAAGAATAAATAAAAGCTAATTGTATCATCTGTTACTTTAAAATGTGCATGCATGAGGTGATTTGCTACGAATTGCATCAAGTTACACAGTAAAATAAATGTGTTATATAACACATTTAACTTAATGAATAATAGTATTAAAATAATTTAAATAGGTTTGATTACTTATCTAAATCACTAGAAATCATAAAAAATATCAAACTACAAACATCTTCTGGGAATATCATTGTGGTCTATTTTTGCAATGACAATAAAAAGTTTGTAGGTCCTTTATTTTTTTCCACACGGCGACTTTTAGCAGAGCGTCTCAAATGGGATGCAGTCGCTAACCGTCTACCTCTACACACGCGTTCGATTTTAAGCAGCGATTCAAGCGCGCGACTGCGTCGATACAAACGCCCGATTCCAACGCTACACTCCAAATTTATAGGTGATTGCATCGATGCAATTACGCGTTTGTATCGATGCACTCGCACGTTTCACGAACGCGCATTGGCATCGCTGCTATATATAAGTCGCTTTGTATGGGTAACGTGTGTGGGTGTGTGTGTGGGCGAAACCTTGAGGGTAACTTTTTTCTCAACTGGACATTGGCGTTGCATCATTCGCCGTAATTTTAATATTATTTTTATAAAACGTACATATTCATTTTTAATCCTAACATTGACAGAATCATCACAGGAATCGATACAGTCATTATAAAGAAATTGGAATTGAAATTAACCACAAGTATTTTAATTCGGTTGTGTATAATTGTAACTGCAATACAATTGTACGCACAACCGCTTCCGTTGGAATCTGAATGTTTTAAATAATTCGATGGAAATTGTATTTTACGCAATATGTAATATTGAATAGGTACGTGTAAATTATATCACATTACACAAGGAAAAAGTAACATACACATTACACAAAAATTATTTTCACGCTACATCAGCTAGAGCAGTTGGTTATTACAAAAAGATATATCGTTTATGATGAATGCTTAAAAAACACGCGTACTGATACAGCTCACTGCAATCAAACAGATTTTGTTTCTCATTGCAAAATGTAGGATGGTTCATTTCAGAATTTTAATAGGTATTATATATATTTTAATACGTAGTATATATATTTTATTATTAGATTCGATCGTGATAAATTTTAAATATGGGTAATAATTATTTACCTTTCAAGATTGGGTTTATTGCGGACGTTTCATGACCGCTCTGCGTTTATAGCCTTTTTAACTTTGTGGAATTTTGATGGTTATAAAAGAGGTATAAAGTGAATGCTTTAGGTGATTTTTCTTTAACAGGAACATTGCTGGCGTACACACTTGTGTCGACATGTGTGCTGGTGCTGCGCTACCAGCCGCATTCCACCAACTTGATCGAGCTACTTCCACAGAGCTTGCGCACACCCGTGGAACCTGAGGGGACTTCTACTAGCAGGATGACAAGTTTCACGGTTTGTCAGCATTTTTTATGCTAATCATTTGCTTGTACTGCTACCTATAGAAAACAACTTGTCTTTACTGGTACCAAATTCATTGTAAAATCTTCAAAATTACCTACATTGGAATGGCTAGAAGATGGACCTGTTCCAGTAAAATATATACTATCTAATCTCTGCAGGATAATAATAAAAACCTCTGTTTTTCAGATATTTTTGAAATGTTTCTTTAAGCAATGCTGTATTTTAATGTTGTAAACAGCCTTTGAACGCCGCTCCTACAAACGTGTTTGCATTATTAAAAATTATAAGAATAGCAATATTTCATTTTTCTAAGGATCTCAAAATGATTCCCCATTATCAGTGAGGTTGAAGCGTAACGCTCTATCAAAGCTATTTTTATTGAGAGTTTATTTAGGTACACGGAACCAAATTTTTTCCGAGAATACCTTGAATACATTGCGGTCGTTCGCTGTGCCTTGTTGTAGCTGTTATTTATGCAATATTTATGTACACAAAATTCTAGGATAACTATGTGACAAAACAACAAGTTGTGACAAGGTAAATAGTTTCAAGTTATTAGGGTCAATTTATTTATATATAAATTAGGTTAAATTGTTTTTACCTACTTGCAACTGTAAGTAAGGAAAGCACTGATAATGTATTAAACGTAATGGCAAATTCTAAATGTCTACCGATGATATCATATAGATATTCACTCCATTGTACTTCGTAATTGCACACGTTAAGCTGGGTAACAAGTGGGGTCGCGTATTACAGGGATTGAAATGGAAACGCCCATTTCATTCTTTTCGTTACAACTACTTATAACCACGCATCGAATTTCACGTCAAATTTCAAATTTAATCTAGCTTCACTGCTAAATTATTTCTTATGCACTCAATTCGCAGGCACAGTACCTGTAAGCACCGTAATTATAAGAACTGTGTATGTGTATGTGTGCATGCAGATTAATCAAGCCTTGATGACAAACAAGCTTGACATTTGTCTGTTCAATGCAATTTAGTGAATAATTCTTCAAATCGTCTTGCGTGACTCGAAAGCGTTAAGCAGTAATTTGCCTTTGCATAACTCTTTTCACCGAACCTAACCGTGCTCCACTTGCCAAATCAGAACTATTATACTATAGTTTAGTACACGGTAACATCAGCTGTTCTTGAGTAAATGTTTGTATGGGACTGCTGCTTTTTCGTGATCTAAGGGGGCTCTTACGTTAAAACTTGTTCCTGTTGATGGGTCGAATTTCCCACTAAAATATCATGAGATAAAAAGATCAGACTTTGTACAAAGCTAAGTAGTTACTATTTATTATCATCATCATCAAGTCTTTTTTGTATGTTTGTTCCACTGCTGGGCACAAGCCTCCTCTCAGGCGAGGGTTTAGGCCATAGGCCACCACGCTGCCCCAATGCAGTTTGGGGCCTTCACACGTTTTCTTCTACCACGTGCAGGTTTCTACACGATGTTTTCCTTCACCGAAAAACTCATGGTAAATTACTAATTAAATTTCGCACATAAATTCCGAGGAACTCAGAGATGGGAGCTCGAATTCGAAACCACGGACTCTACTTAAGAGACGATACGTCAGACCATTAGGCTACCACGGCTTCAGCAGTAATAAGGTACTATGTTCTGTTAATTGAAGGTTTTGAAATTTTTGGATAAAATATTGCAAAATTGTCAAACAAATAGCTCTCAAGGGCAATTAACACTCTAGCGAAAGTTGATGTATATATTTCAAGTAATAATGAAAGCTGGGATCCAGAAATAAATATATGTTCAATCAGCCGTGGCCATGGGACCTGTAAAGGGCACAAAACGTTGATATGTTTGAAGAAACAATTATACGCCATTTATATCCGAAAAAAGAGTTTCATTTCCTATGTACGTAATGTGCTTGGCGTCTTTATAGTGTGACGTCATAGCCGATGTAAAATAGACGAAGCCTTGGTCACAATGTCACCCAATGTTAAGTTAGCGACGATATGGCCAACAATGTTACGAGTTTGCCTAGTAAATAACTAATCACTACCGTTGAACAGCCTTAAATTGTAGCTTTGGAGAAACACAGATGGAGGAATAACCAATCCTTTGCCGTACGCCTTAGGAAAGATGAAGCAAAGCGCTTCATGCGAAAGGATGGCAATGCGGATGGAGTGTTCCTCCACTGAAGACTTTCTAGTACTCCGGAGGTGAGGATGGATCTAAATTGGAACGTATTTTTATACACACTCTCCGAAATATAGAAATTCGTTAAGCAGGTCAGTGTTTTGCGGTTATTGAGACTTGGAACCTGCGACACCACAGGAGAATCGTTGATAATTAGTCTCTTTGCTTTTCGCTCGAACCAGTCAAAGGCAGCCAAACAGGGCCATCCCAAAGGTGACAGCAGTAGTCCATACGCGACCAAACTTGTGCTTGATAAAGATTATTTTAATGCTAATGAAAAGCAAATCTCATTTTGTTACTTATCAGAAACATTATAATACAGGCAGGTGATTTAGTTTACTATTACGCTTGGCAAGCGATTCAAAGATGTTCAGAGCTTCTCCAACCGACAGCACACCCGCATCGAATAGGTTATTAATTCCGCTCAGTACGAGACGTAGGGCGCAGACAGATCTTCAAACTCCGTGTCCCTGATTGATGTTCAAGTGGCATTCCAATTTCCAGCAGCTGCTTTGCAATCTCGCCTTGCCCAGATCATTAGGATAGCTATTTACACCACAATCGCAAGAAAATAATTATTTGTCTCACGCAGTTCAAATTGGACGTCTATTATATTTTTTTGCGTTCCCTCGCTTATAAATTGACGCCTATAGGAATTATTAGTACCTGCTTATTAATTATATATTATTACTAACAACTAAAATTGAACAGAAGAATCAAGTAGCACGTTCCTCCCAAACTTTTTTCAGTATTGATAGCATTCTGAAGAATTGTATCGAATTGAATACAAAGGCAGATGTCACTAGAATACAATCCGGCTCCCATGACCCAATTTTGCAATCCGGACGCTCTGGAATAATTCATAGCGAGACAACAAACAGACTGCCACGCAAAAATCTTACTACTTGAACTCTGCCCTGTTTTGATTAAAAATGCTGTTTACTGTGTTGGTGTTATAGGTACTTATTGTTTTAATCATATTATTTCTACGTAAAATAAATACTAAGTATATCTAAGTATTCTTAGTAAAACTATTTTTGAAATGGTAAGTCTTATGTCTTGTTGCAGACTCGAACGCAAACCCACATCATGCCGGCAACTCAACGCGTCATGGTCCGTCGTGTAACCAGAAGGTAACATTATTTCCTGACAGCCCAGCGAAATTGTAAATAAGTTAATAATGCAAAGCGAAAGGCCGGCCGACACTTTTAGTAAAAGCTTGTACCCAACTAATCCGTATGTCCACATACCTTAGCATGTTGAGTTTGTCTACAGCTCTCCGGATTCCGATGATACCTACCCGGGAGATGAAAGTGAAGAATTCGGCCGCGACGACACCTTTCTGGTGAATTCAAACACGGAAAACAAGTTTTACGGTAAGAGTTTACACATTCTTTTCGCGGAAATGCGGTAGAATTTTCAGATTTTATTTCAGTCTAGCTACACGACGCCATTTGCGATTGCCACGAGAAATAGCGAATTTGACTGATTCGCCACGCGATATAAAGTTGTATGTCCCTAATGCCATAGCTTGAATAAATAGCGTACCTTAGCGTAACTTACCTGTAGTGTGCAGATACTTTTGTGTGTATTGTGAATATTTTGATAATGTGTACCTATATGAAAATATATTCACAAAATATCTGTGTTCTGTACGACAATGAAATATGTCATATAAAACTCTATTAACAAACTAATCTATATCAGGTGCGGTTCCCGGGGGTTCATCAGGCAGTAGCACTCGGTGCGGGCGGTTCTTTGACGCCTTTTCTCGCCAGCTGCATGCCATGTCCTATCTGTGCCCAGGCCTCTTCCCCTGGGTCGACTGCGGACCTGCCACCGAACAAAGCGGTTAGTCTTTTAAATTAAATGAATAATTATTACTTTTAAATAGGGATGATTCGATACAAGTAAATACGAGTAAGTACTCGATACTTTTCTTTCGATACCGAGTATTTTTAGTATCGAATCCCTTCTTTCGATTTTTCTGGGTATCGGAAGACGAACACTGGTATCGAATTGAAACGCGCACGCGTAAATATTTAACCTCAATCCCAATTCCCAGGAAAAGATCATCTTTTTTTCAAATTATTCTTCTATCCATTTTCACCATTTTACAGAAAACAAATTCAAACTGCCAAGTACCAGAGTAAAAAAAATGTATGTCTATCTATTGTCCCTTTGGATCATTTTTGGATGAATGGTACAACCAAGAGCACGTCAAGCTTGATACTTTGTACTTTGGACTTAAGTTAAGCTAAGCTTGACGTTCTCTACTACATACATCTCAGCGAATGATAGAAGTTCTTATTTTTGTATTACAGTTTTTATATAGATTAAAGTTTAGTAAAAGTAATACCTAAGTATTATTACGGCAAATTCGCAGTAATACTCGATTATCAAAATCTCGATTGATTAGCGGAATTATCGTTTGTATCAATTTAACTATAATACTTTCAAAAAGGAAAATAACGTTTATTTGTTTAATTGTGCAGTGTGTGCTTGTTAAAAGTTTATTACTTTTTTGTTATTATAGCGCCGCCAAAATCTAAAGTATGGACATATTTTATATCTTCTAAAAAGTATCGATATGAGTATACTATACTAACTAACTCATATATGATATGAGTTAGTCGATACTAATCATATGAGTACTTCATGCGATCATGACGAATTGATTACTACTCATTTGAGTAGGTATCGATACATTGGTGGTATCGGAACATCCGTACTTTTAAACAATTGTATAAATGCTGACCTGTATAAGCACAGTAAAGTGAGTACTTATACCATTGTATTGGCGTATCCCCATATAAATCCCACTGCTGAACGTTAGTAGGAATAGGTAATTGAATAAAATGGACGTTTACATTTCTTAAAATTGAACGAACAATTACATTTTATATCCTTCATTTACATTTCTGTATGTAAGACAATTTCATAAAAAATATAATGGGTACAAAAATGCTCCGGTGTTGTAACAAAGGTTATCAAGATTCGTATAATAATTAGGATGGTGGATTCTTTGTACGGAAACAAGGATGGGCTCGCATTGATTATAGGTATTCGGTGTCGTGTTCATATTTCCGAATTGCATAACAACCCCATATGACCCCAGGTAAATACCAGGGTCATATGGAGTATTTTGCAAACTGCTCTGGTGAAATTGCAGGCACATGGGACTTGTCAACTTACATCTCATGATGAAGGGTGTAGTGGCAGTACCCCTCAGATCTTTGCGTTTTAAAGCTCTGAGTGAGTTGGTACTTAGTACTTGGTCGGGCTGGTGTCCGCAACTCGACGTCCAGACGCCTATTTTGCGTGTGATGGGTGCAAGGTCCTACTCGTGCCAACCACGCTTTTTCAGGAATCTCAGCATCCTCCTCGGTTTGCTGAAGACTTCGAGGAGCGACCTCGGTACTCCGAGGTACTTTGCTCTGTAATTGGACGCGCCGGAGCACTGTAGTAGGATGTGGGCAGCCATTTCTTCCCCCTCCATACACGCTCTGCATAGAGGGCTATCTGTGACACCTAAATTGAAAAGGTATTTATTGTATGGACCATGATTCGGTAGGGCAGCTGGTAGAGTGCGAAGTTCTTGCCTTTTGAGTTTAATTAATTTTTGAGATAGACTGGCGTTGAGCGTTGGGAGAGCTTCCCTAGGCGTAAAAGTTGTCCACGTGTTATTATGATAGATAAGAGATTTTGTACCTTTGTGTATAATTATTCTTGACCTTGTAAGGAAGGACACTATGTATTCTGGTCTTACAAAGCCTATCTGTGACCCTTTTCTGGCCAGTATATCTGCCGCGTCATTAGATTTGCGTGGTTGTGTATACATACCTCCATGAGTGCTTGATGGCATTCATAAATAAGTCCTGTATTAATGTCATAGCTGCTCTGTGCTTGAAGTCCTCACATGCTGTCGGAGAGTATTCGGATAGAGTGACGTTTTTACTCTTCTCGCTATGATTGCTTCTGCTACCAACTTGGTATCCATACATTCAGGTATTGATATCCATATATCCTGATATTGAGGTCTTATGAGAATACCCCAGTACCTGTTCCTGAACTTGTTTTTGATCCATCGGTGAAGACGCGGATCTCTCTGGGGTTCAGTTCTTCGTTGGGATCTTCAAACACTTATTTCTTGTATTTTTTGTTACGACCATTTTCGAATATTTGTAATTGTACAAAAACAAATGCAAATATTAATTTTCTCATGTAATTTATTATATTGTAAAGGCATTTTTATTTCCTTTTTCGATTTGTAAAATGCGCTGCTGTATTTTTCTACATACCCTCAGGCAGAAGTTGTACCTATTTATATAACAATTTTATTTAATTTGCTAGTGTACAGTCATAGGCACTAACTGTTTCGATTAAATACTGTGAAACAGATTTCAAGTTAAAACTGTAGAGTAAATTTGTTTTATACTGTATTTGCTTTCGAGTGCAGATTACAGCCTTTATTAAAATATGTTCTGTTTGTATTTGCCAGGGATGTTCGTGATAAAATCCGTCGGAGTTATGTACTTGTTGGTCATCGTATTCGACATGTTCGCTGCTTACGGCAACCCTGGCTCTTCCACCATTACCACCATCATTATGGCTCTCCTTCTGCTGGCTATTATCTCCATACTGCTCGTTATATCGAGGAGACCACAAAATCGGTGAGTGTTAATTGACATTTGTGATACTGCACTGTAATAATTCCATTCGATATAAATTTATATACCTACATATCACAAAGACTGTCAAGGATTGATTTCGTCTCTTAGGTCGCAACATTACCGAAAGTAGTAGTACGCTGACAACATGAATATTGAAGGCAAATTTCGGGTTTGTAGTATGTGAACCCGAGTTCGATTTTAATAGTAAAGTCACCATTTAAGGTTCCAAAAGTATCTTATTAACCTTTTTATTTACCGTGGCGGTGAAACACACTTAAAAATATAATGTGTAATGTATAATAGTAATGTATTGTAATCTATTAAAATGACTTTTTAAAAGTTTTCACGTTATTAAATAATTTATGTTAAGAGGAATAGTAATTTTTTAATGAAAATAGTGACGGGCATAACGTTCATAATAGGAATAAAAATAAACTAGCTGTTCTTGATAGTCGTCTTTCCAAAGTCACAAATTTATTTAGGGGAAATGTATAAGTACGCGTCTATAATAAGATTACCTGTTTCTTACCTACTTCTGCCGCCAAGCAGTAATGTCAACATTACTGTTTTCCGGTTTTGAAGGGTAAGGGTGCTGGTGAAATTACAGGCACATGGGACTTGTCAACGTATGTCTCAGAGTGACGGGCGCAGTGGCAGTGCCCCTCAGATCTTTGCGAGTTAAAGCTCTGAGTGGCACTGCAACTGTTGTGGACAGGCGTGCAGCTTACCATAAGGCGCACGACGTATTCGTGCCGTCACTAGATATTATAAAAAAAAGATTCCGGTTGATATTCAAAATTTGCCAAACTATAGTGAAATACATAGGGCGCACTATAAGTTTCCGGAATTGGCCACTTACATAAACAATATTTAAAAAGTAATTACTACATTTGAAAATGGATTCTTTGTAGAACACAGTTTGGTTCATCTGACTCTTACTTGTTTTTTCTACATCAAAATGGATTTAAATCGTGATAATTTTCGTAGTGTGATTTTCTACGACTTTAAGGGTAATTTAAAAGATCAGCTGAGCTACGCTGGGCTTCAAATTGCTGTTGGCGATGAAGCACCATGCAAGACGACTATTTATAGCTGGTTTGCAGAATTCAAACGCGGTGGTGTGTATATCACAGTGACGAATTTCGTAATGGTCGCCCGTCCACTGCTGTGAACAACAACAACATCGATGCTGTGCGCCGTATGATCAATACAGACAGACATGGGACGTACCACAAGATTCGGGCATCTTTAGGCATAGGCATGAGTCAAATACAATCAATACTACACGAACATTTGGGTGTGAAAAAGCTGTGTTCTCGGTGGATCCCACACAATTTGACTGAGGCTCAAAAAACGGATCGCGTCACTTGGTACAATGCCATGCTTACCAGATTCCACAAAGGGACGTCAAATTTGGTGTGGGACATAGTAACAGGTGACGAAACATGGATTTATAGTTATGATCTCGAAACAAAGCAGCAATCGAGCGTCTAGGTCTTTCAAGATGTGCCGAAACCAATCAAAGTGGCGTGCGCGCAAAGTGTCTGTAAACGGATGATTGCTTCTTTTTTTAATAAAACTGGACAAGTGGCTACTGTTGCTTTGGAGAATCGTTGTACCATGAATAGTGATTGGTACACGACCATTTGTTTGCCGGAAGTTATTGACAAACTCCGTAAAAATAACCGTAAACGCCGTATCATCTTGCACCACGATAATGCCAGTTCTCACACGGCCAGACAGACAAATTAATTTTTGAAGGTGAACAACATTAACCTTATGGGCCATCCCGCGTACAATCCCGACCTGGCACCTTGTGACTTTTATTTATTTCCAAAAATTAAGAACCAGTTAACGGTCAACGGTTTTCATCACCTGAAGAGTATGAAAAATATGTTTCACAGATTGTCACGGAGGAGTGGCATAAATGTTTTCAAAATTGGTTCATTCGTATGAAAAAGTGCATTAACGCGAACGGAGAATATTTTGAGAAACAATAAATTCATTTCTGACCATTTATAGTATTTTTTTCTTATTCATTCCCGAAACTTATAATGCGCTTCACGTAAAAACTTTAACACCGCTTCTGCATACCTACTTGGATGACAAAAATCTGTCGTAGTGACCAGCTTAGTTCTAGCAGACAGGGACCGAGAAACCCGGGTTTGAGGTTAACCGTTTGTACAGTACAGTTGTAAAATCTCTGTACAGAGTACTAAAAAACGGACCCCAAAAGTCATTCATTCCCTAGTTTGTCTCCCTTAGAGGTACAATATTTTCTTCAAATTTAAATGGAACCACTTATGAGGTACCCTTTTCACAAAATTATTGCGTAACATATATACAAAAAAAAACATACATTCGACTTGAGAACCTCCCTCGTTTTGAAGTCGGTAAAAATGGATTTAATGCCGCCAAAAGACATGTCTAGAACCTTGTCAAAATTTTTTAATGGTTCTTCTTTTCCGAAAACTTCTTTTCTTCTGTGAAGGAGGTCGATGGCCGACCAGAGCGAGAATCGTCTTCAAAGCTCAAACTACTTAAAAACTTAAATAAGCAATACGATCAAATTGATTGAAATATTTGACTCTCCTTAAAATTTTTGAAACGACCAACTGCATGTTTATTTTATCAATATGTGTTTCTACGAACTTTTTGTTTCGAATTGTTTGCGCTATATTAGGTATCTACTGCCACGTTGTAACTTGTATTAAAAGAACTACACGAATTTTAGGTAGAATCCATCATTGATTTCAGGGCGCGATAACTCCGGTATTTGTGAACCGATTTTCATGAGTCTTTTTTGTTAGAAAGTACTTCCACAGTGGTCCCATTTAATTTTGAAGAAAATCATCCACCTCGAAGGGTGGCTGTTCACGCATGAAGATACATTTTCATAAATAGCGCCTAAGTTTAATTTAGGAGCAATTACTTAAATGGTTGATTCTGCTATTTCTCCAATTCAAGGCGTTTTTCTCTCAATATACTTTGAGTAGTGAGAACCGATTTTTATTATCTCCAGTGTCAAGTCCTGTATAGTGGCGAACTAGGGGATATTTCAATAAAACTTAGCAAATAGACGTAATTCCACGTACTTTTGAGGTCGGTTTTTTTTAGTAGTCTGTACTGAGATTTGCATTTACAGATCATATATAATAACTACGTAGGATCGAAAGTTTTGTAAGATTCCAATTTAATTAACGAAACGTGTAAGTGATTATTTTACTACGATGAACTGAGTAATGCAAATGTAGTATATATATATAAGTTTTGTGAATGACGTTTAGTTTAACTACCTTTTGTACATAAAGTTTCAGCCTTATTCGAGATTTACCTGACGGGCACTTCTCGAGGATCGGAGACCCTCTCTCTCTAAACAGAACCAAAATTTAATTAATGTTGTTTCTCTTGCCGGAGAGGGCCCAAGACTCCCTCGCTATATGAAACGTGATGCCCTAAACTGTTACTACTTTGCATATGGCTCAATCCAGCACTGTGTGACAATGTTCTTGTAGATGTTAACTTGACAATGGTTTCAGAGTGGCGTTGATATACACGACCCCCGGCCTGCCATTTGTGCCAGCCACGGCCATCATCGTCAACATATATCTGATCCTCAACCTGTCCATTCTGACTCTGGTGCGGTTTACTATCTGGATGAGTCTAGGTTAGTTTGTAGCATGCTGGTTAGATTATATTGATTTTGTATTTAGAATTGCATAAAAAATAGAAGGTTGTTGTAAAATGAACACCGAGAGAGTTCTAGACAAATATTCAAATCGAACGCTCACAGTAAATCTTTAATTATGAATTAAATTCCTCGTTCCTATTAAAAAGTACCTCTCGCAACGCTAAACCCACAGCTACGCTCCCACAGTATCTATCACTTATATGTGGAATCACACAACTACACTAAACAATTTTAGTAGCAGTAGAGCTCCTTATGAAAGAGTTTGTCCAGGGAAGTACTGCAACCGTATCTTTTCTGCCGCCAAGCAGTAATGTCAGCATTACTGTGTTCCGGTTTTGAAAGGTAAGGGTGCTGGTGAAATTACAGGCACATGGGACTTGTCAACTTATGCCTCATGGTGACGGGCACAGTGGCAGTGCCCCTCAGATCTTTGCGATTTAAAGCTCTGAGTGGCACTGCAACTGTTCTGGACAGGCGTGTCACTTACCATCAGGCGCACGACTTGTTCCTCCCGTCACTTGATATTATATAAAGAAAGAACACGGGTCGAACGGGTTTGTCCTATGTGCTCAGTCTTGCAGTAATTCAGATTCAACGAACTTTTGGGGACAAACATTCACACTTATTGTTACATAATATGTCTCAAATGAAGCAAAAGGGGAAAATAACGTTGGTCGCATTTGGCATAATAAGTTTAAATTGTAACATTGTAATATTATTATAATCTACATGTGGGAAACATCATACTTTACTTAAATATTACGAGTGCTTAATTTGTGGTGTATTTATACATTATGGTTCATTATCACAGTAGATTTCTTACAATACAATCTTCCGACACAAGTAAATACATAAAAAATTCTTGTGTAACACACAATGTTTACTGAAATTAAAAAAAAATAAGTACGATGTTTTACTGAAATGTCAAAATCTACTACAATATTAACAAATATCTATTTGACGTATACAATATTTTGCTGAAACATTAAAGTCCGAATGACATATAGTTACATAAGATATTTGACAGAAATATCAAAATTTTACACGATTTAAACAATGTTTTGCTGAAGTGTCAGTCTATTTGACATAAACAATGTTTTACAGAAATGTCAAAGCCAACATGGCATTACGATACTTTACCAAAATTTAAAGTCTACTTGACATACACGATGTTTTACATACATGTCAAATTTACACGATGAAATGTCGCATCCTTTTGTTAAGAAAGACTTGCAGATCGCTGGTAAAAAATTAAGATCAAACAAGTGAGAGACACATTTCAACACGACTTAATTAGACATATTTTAGTAAGCTACTCCACTTTCTTACACACCTAACAACCGAAGATTTTCACTTTACAACTATTTAGTTTAGTTTTTCATTTATATAGAATATTATATTCATTATCCATGTTTACAGTACCGACACGCTATGATGGCCGTTTTGACAATAGTGAAGTCAAATCTCAATTCATTATTATTTTATTTATTATTAGTATTGCAAGGGGTAGCTGATTAAAAAGTTTTAATAAAACTTTTACTTTGTTTTTGTTGCCGGAGGTAGAAGTAGTGCTGGACAGAGATCCTGTGTGACGATCGTAATAGACCTCAGTTTAAAAATTTCGAATTTCGATAAACAAATGCGCAGTTGGGTCGTAAAATTATACATCCATAAATTTTACAGCTCGTCACTATTGACAACAATGTATGTACATCAATTAGCTCATTCAGCGTAGTTATGAATTAATACGAAACTTGATGAGCGGACAAACGTCAAAATGGCCATCATAGCGTGCCGGTACTATAATCATGATTTTGTATTTATTTGAGCTAAGTGACAACTCCAATTTGCAGGCATGGTAATGTACTTCAAGTACGGTATTAAGAACTCAAAGCTAGAGACAGACCCGCCAGCGCCACCGGCCGTGACTCCGCCGACACCGAACCCACTCGATCGCACTACCATCCCGCCCAACACTCAGCCAAGCCGACCCTTCGGTGACCGCAACATCTTCGAGGGTGATGGCAATAACGGATTTTTTGGCAGCTATAACGATCAGTGAGTTATTCCCACCGCACTATTGTTTTATATACCGTTTAAATAACTTGGGCACATTGTAAATGAAGAGCTAAAAGATGACTGTGATATAGAAAGGGAACGTAGGGCTTTGTCGATAAGAGGGAATATGTTGGCTCGGAGATTTGCTGGTTGTACACTAAATGTTAAAATCACTCTTTTCAAGGCATTCTGCCAAACTTTTTACACCAGCAGTCTGTGGGCTACTTATACCCAAAAGTCGTACAACGCCCTGCGTATTTTGTATAACAACATGTTCCGGGTGTTAGTGGGGCTTCCTCGCCACTGTAGTGCGTCTGGAATGTTTGCAGATGCACATACAGACGACTTTTTTGCGCTTATGCGCAAGAAAGTTGCGCCATTATTCCACAGAGTGAGGGGAAGCCCCAACACTCTCCTACAGGTTGTTGCTGGAAGGCTGGATAGCGCTGTACTCGGCCGGTTCAACGAGCTGCACGCACCATGTGCGACTCGGTGACCCGGCTGACTATTTGTTGCTTTTATGTTATTATTTGATAAGTTATTTTTAGTTTGTCTTATTGTACTAACATAGCTATTAAGTCTTTCTGCTACTAACAAGATATGGACCAATTAGTTGTCTGAAAATAAAGATATTTTATTTTATTTTATTTTTATTTATTATTATATGCGAAAGTTTACATGAAAATATCTTGTAAGTGCAGTCAGAGTAAAAAGATCTGTGAGTCGATGTATGATGAATGAAAATCATTTTATATACGTTTTTAAGACTTTAAAGGGCTAAAACATAGGAATGCATTAGTCTTGCATTAAAATAAATCAATGAAATTGAACAAAATCCAGGCTATATTTAAAATAATAAGAGATTTCCATATGACACTCTTGCTTTGTAAATAATAGGATGTTCGGGAACCTTCATTCGATAACTGTGATCGAATGAAAGTTACTATACGATAACTGTGACTTCGAGTAAGTAATCGTACGGATGTGACGTCATTTCGGTTCGATTTCGAATACGACAGTTTGACGTTCGATTCGGGTGTTGTGAACAAAAATGAAAAGAAATCGTACGATAACAAATCGAATCAGTCGACAACTGAGTAAGGTTCTGAATCGACGCCCTGTTCCATTAAGTCTATATGTTAAATACAACCTCATCTCAATGTATTCCAGGTGCACATCGGGATTTAGCAATGTACTAATGAACGTATTCTTATATAAAATTTACCCTTTAGGTGTATGACCTGTGTATGTTTTCATTATTTTGGCTATCCAAATTTTCGTCAAAAATCTGGTGCCTATGCATCCATAGGCATCAATCAGTCGGCGTCGAAATTATTGAATTATATTACATTACACCGTATTTATACGTACAGTCATAGAACTGTACGTATAATTACAATACTATAACTTATGCAAAAAAATACTAATCACGTCCGACGTCGCAACCATTTCTATGAGTTATTATAATTTTCTGCTAAATAATAAGTTAGCCCTAAATGGTAATGTCTTAGATACTCGGACCCTCTTCTCGCATGGCACGTCGCCGACTTGCAGCCGGTACAGTCCGGATCAAACAACACTGGGACTACATACGTGGAATCTCGGTACGTCTTTTTAGCTACTACTAAAACCGGAAAATTATTAATATGTTAAACCAAACCCAGTGTGAGCAAAGTAATATTTGATTTTCAATGAATACTTACTTATGGAATTTCAATGTTGCAGATACGATGCAAGAACAAATAGTACTACATCACACACCTCGAGCCGTCCGCCGTGGGCATACCCGGACACAACTTACGACAATTGGGACTAAAAGTTGTCGCGACTGACTGCCGAGTACCACGTCGCAATGGCCGTCGTCACTCGACGGCTATCAACCCAGCTCGCCCTTAATAATCACATACCTACATAATTATTATACTTAATGTAAACATGCTAGCTCTGGAAAAATACCTATTTTAATCGATTCGTTTTCCAAATACAATATTTTCATATTATTTTTTTATAAACCAGTTGAAGATTCTTACATATCTTTATCTTTCAATGTTATTGTTTACATAAATAAAACCTATACCTATTTTGGAAGTGTTCTAATATTGAAAATATTTTCATATTTGTTTCAATATTTCGGAATAGTTTAAAATAGTTGACAATTTTTGTTGTCTTCTGTAGTATTATTACTATTTTTTACAACATTGTTCTTAAAGAGTTATAAGTACATACATAAGCAATCTAAGGTTTTAAATATCATAGTGCAATAACTTTTCGAACAAAATAATATGTGTTTCTAAGTAGCGACTTCTTAACATGGACTAATACGATTTGTAAATATTTATTATTCGGAAAAGTTATATGAATGTTATTATTGTATAAACATGACTAGCAAATTTAAATTAAAAGTTGGTGCTTTGAGTAGAAGCACAAAGATTTTGTTTGTTGTCGTGAAGTTTCTTTGAATTAAATGCATACATACTACATACTACTACAACAAAGAAACATATCAAAAATGTATCTTTTGCTGGAAGCATAAAACTCTCTGTATACTTAAAAAGCGTTATATCGAATGGTATCGTTTAGCGAAAGTAGGTACCTATATTAATAAACTTTGTGCATATGACAGAGAGGAAGATATGACGAATTGCGCTATATTGATCGAAGGAGAGAAAGTGGAAGAAGTGAAAAAGTTTGTATATTTGAGTTATATGTTTAGGTACGTGTGACGGAAGATGTGAAAGTGACATTGAAAGAAGAGTAAACGCAGGGAATCAGGTGAATGGTGCGTTGCATGCCTTCATGCACAGCCAGAAAGTGTTCAAAAAGGCACGATCGGCTATGCATGAGGGGGTTCTGGTACCTACTCTTATATGTTGAATGTTGGCTTTGGCAGAAACACGAAAAGCTTTGAGAAGTACGGCTGGACTGACTCTAATAGATAAATTCTAGGGTCGGAAGACTAAAGCCCATAAATCAATTCATTTGTTACTTCGATAATTTGTAACTTTAATTCTAGTAGCGTCTTTTTCAAATTTATCATTCTCTTGGCATCTTCCAAAACTACAAACAACAGAAAAAATACTTATAGGTATAATTATGTATTAAAAAATGAACCTCTTTTTTGACTTATATGCTTTAGGCCGCCGACCCTAGATTTACAGTACCTACAGTGTGATAAGATGTCGTGACAAAGGTAGAGAAAGGGATGCTTAGATGGTTCGGACATGTAGAAAGAATGAATGAAAGAAGATTGACGAAACAGATTATAATCTGTTTCGTCAATCTTCTCGGCGTGTGTGAGAAGGCAAGTTGGTAAGAGTCGACCAAGGCGAACTTACCATGACCAAATTGAGACCATCCATAAAGAAGTGCCAGGTCATGAACACCCTGAATCGGTGAACGTGTATGAAAGCGCTGATGCGTGTTGAAGATGCGAAAAATGTGTGTCAGGATCGTAAAAAGTGGAAGACTGTTGTCTCTGCCTACCCCGATGGGAAAAAGAAGCAAAGTATATGTATGTGCATACGAAACGCATATCCATTGGCATCTAAAATACATTACATTAAATCAGACACGTTTAAAAAATTATTTTAATTTATTGTACAATTTAATAAATAAGCACCTTCAAATGCAAATCAATTGCGTGTGAATAGTTCCCATAGAGATTCAAACTCTACCGAATAAGCATCTAAACGACAAACGTAAAATTGTATAATTACTCACTGAAATTCATATAAATACGGATCTTGATTTGATACATACTTTTATACTAACTTTAGTGTTACATGATATATATACATACTAAGGTTGTTGCAAATATCAATATCCGCCTCCGCATCCACATTCATCAATGCTGATATTCATAGCGGATATTCGAGTCGTGACATGACCTTAAAGACTCGCTGAAATAATTTACAAACCTTTCAGAAACAAACCGTAAGCCGAAAAAGCAGCTCAGCAGTTGTTTTTAAAATAAGTATAGGTTAATTTTAATAAAATTCCACTACGATTAAGCTAGACAGATTGATTGTATCCATGAAGGTTGATTCTTTAGTTATAAATGTCACAAATTATTGAAATAATACTTTATTACAATACCTTAGAGGATGGAAATAAAGGAACAGTCTAACTACAATACCAAAGCAAATAGAAAGCTTTTTTCATGATAGATAGATTCAGTAAGGATGTACATTTAACGCGTTTTTTTTTTAATAGATACATAAAATCAGCATCCACATCATCAGAAAAATCAGCATTCTATGATGTGTAAAAAACTACATCAGCAACAATCCTGATACGTGCGTACATTCGACATGTTCTTATTAAATAAGGTTTATTGGTTTGGAATTTAGCTGCCACTATATGATTTTTTGCCACCCTAATTTCAGGGTCCTTATGCATTATTTAATTGTATTTTTAACCTACAATTAAACATATTTATATATTAATTTATGATAAATTTATCGCACGTTCGTTAAGCTCTTTGGGGCCCATTCATTCGACATTCTGGTAATAGATAATTTTTATCAAAATTATATAAATATAACCCTACAGATTGTCTTGATTAATGTAAACAATAATATAATATAATCCATAATTGGGGGTAGCAGCAATACAGAATCGCTAAAAAACAATACAAAAGAATTTTTTTTTAAATGTGAACTTCCAATGTACCTCCTCCAGATTACATAGAACATTGTTACTGGGAGTTTATATATGTAAATGGTAGCGAGTAGCTTTGTAATGTGTACCTACTCGTTATTTCGTCACTAATGTGCAAAAGGTTTCGAGTTACCTTGTCTCATTATTACAGTTGACGTCGTCGTTCAATAACGAAACTTTTCGTTATTTTCTTCCTACAAGTTTCACAAAATAGACTTACGGAGTTTTCCTGTATTTTGCCATAAATACTCATAAAACAAGTTCTAATAGAATAATCGAACTAGATAAATAGATATTAGTACTTTTTTGATATACCTACATTATTTAAAAATACATCCACCCTTAGAATAATAACGCATAGAAACCTAGCCCGCAAACGCTAAGTGAGGCAAGTTAAAGGCTTCCACACGAGCTCCCAGGAGCGCGCGGGCTGTTAGTGCTCAAGATCAAATTGCACCGCGAACAGCTCCAAAATTTTTTGCTAAAAATGACGAAATGTGCGGTAAATGGGTGTAAAAATAGAACAGACAAACATAAAATAGACACTAACATCACATTCCACAAGTAAGTAATGCGTTTCAACTCATATTTTTATGTAATTATTCACTAAAACAGAAAAATAATTTCGCGGCAACAAGATACGAAAGTGTTGCAAAGTAACGAATTTTTTTTCTCCCCATTTTGCTATTCTGTATCAAAATAATTATATTACGTAAATTTTAGTGGTGCCTGTAATTTCGATTTATTTGCGCATCTTGAACTAATATTTACTTTAATAAACATTAAATGTTTTCATTAACTCCTGTAAGTGATTGGGACACTTATTATTTTATAATACTTTTAACGGCTCTGCGTTCATGCTTTATTGAATAATTATTTATTTTAATTTTATTTGAATTGCAGCACATATTGCAACAAATTTACAGTATATATTCATTTCTACTATAGTGTTGGCACCACCAGTACAACTTTGATAGCTTATTATATGTCTTTCTTTTCGTAACTCAAGCGAAATATTTGATATTGAAATATTTTATTTTCTTAAAAGGGAAGCATTCTTAAGCGATTTTTTAATCTATTTTAACAGTTATTTTCTTTAATGTTTGCTTATGGCATTTTCGGTTTTAGGTTTCGAATATGGCACTTATTTCTAAATCCAAGATGGCGGGCGCGATTTTTCGAATAATGGCAAGTTGGGTATCGTTTTCGAGATGTTTGGGAATGTTCAATACAAATATGGCACTCATTTCTAAATCCAAGATGGCAAACACAACAGTTCAAACAAAAGCAATATTCGTAATGAGCACCCCCAAATACCTCGAAAACGATAACCAACTTGCCATTATTTGAAAAATCGTACCCGCCATCTTGAATTTACAAATAGTGCCATATTCACATTGAGCATCCCCAAATACCTAGAAAATGATACCCAAATAGCATTTTTTTGAAAAAATCGTGCCCGCCATCTTGGATTTAGAAATGAGTGCCACATTCGTAATGAGCATCCCCAAATACTTCGAAAATGATACCCATATAGCATTTTTTTGAAAAATCGTGCCCGCCATCTTGGATTTAGAAATGAGTGCCATATTCGTAATGAGCACCCCCAAGTACCTCGAAAATGATACCCATAATGCATTTATTTGAAAACTCGTGTCCGCCATCATGGATTTAAAAATGAGTGCCATATTCGTAATGAGCATCCCCAAATACCTCGAAAAGGATACCCATATAGCATATTTTGAAAAATCGTGACCGCCATCTTGGATTTACAAATAAGTGCTATATTCGTTTTTCATCGACAAAACCGAGCATATCTGTAGGCACCTGATCGACATTGTCGATCGACAGTAACGATCGACAAAATCGAGCACATCTGTAGGCACCTGATCGACAATGTCGGGCAAATCTGTAGGCACCTTTAACTCTGAGTTAAGCAAGATACAATTTCCCCACTTTTGAGGGAAATGTTATTCCATGGCATCATTATTTGTATATTTGTGTGCGTGCCGACGAGCGTAGTTACAAGTTGCTTACGCCTACATGAATTTGGTTTTTGCCTCACTTGTGACAGTTCGTTTGATATGAAACTATCATTCTATGCGTTATTATTCTAAGCATCCACCTTTAAAAATTAAAACGTTGTTTGATATAATAATATTGCCAATGGGCAATAATCACATTACTCACAACCTATCGTCACGCGATAACAAAAATATACGAACTACGCCATTTAAAATATCACCAATAGATATTATCTATAGATATAAAAAGTAAAATTTGTTACAGAATTTTTTTATATTGTTAAGAAATTTCAATTTTATCTAACGACGTAGACCAAAGGTGGGTGTCT